GTGAGTGAGTGAGTGAGTGAGTGAGTGAGTGAGTGAGTGAGTGAGTGTTAATTTCTTCATCAATTAATATGTGAAAAAGGAAAAAAAATTTTCAATATTACAACCTTTATTCTTAAAACTATCTAAATATGAATGTCGACATTGGACATTTCTTTTATGTTGAATAACTCTTTTCTTCCTTTTATTGTTGACTCGAACTTTTACGTGATATTTTCTTTAGACATTTCGGATCATCTTATTCTTGCTTCCTAACATCGAATAAGCAAAAATCACAATTTATTTTATCCAATGACTAAATAATTCAACATGTCAAAATTAATTTAATTTTCGTGAATTTCGTATATGAACCTTCGATTGCGTATAAAAAGTTGGGTTTAGTCAACCAAATTTAAAAAAATTATATATGAAATAGGGGTAGAAGAAACCAACGAAGAGATTGGTTTTTGAGTTTCTTCTGCCAATATGTTCAGATTGTTGTAAAACGTTGAAACATCGCCTAAAAAAATGTCCGTATGTGTGTGTGTGTGTGTGTGTGCAGATTTAATGTCTGTGGTTGCTCTAACTTCCGCAAATATTGAGATATCGGGATGTTTTTTTTTAATCGATAGAATATCATTCAAAGAAAATTGGTATTAAATTTGGCGATAATCGGTAAAGGGGTTCTTTTTTAAAAAATTTTTGAATTTTTTTAGAAATGTCTGTGGTTGCTTTAACTTCCGCTAATTTGGAGATATCGATCTATTTCTAATTTTATTATATTTTTTAGTCTTTTTTACCCCTATTTCATATATAATTTTTTAAGATTTGGTTGATTAGATCCAGCTTTATACGCGATCAAAGGTCCATAATTTTGATCGCATATAAAGCTAAGTCTAATCAACTGAATTTAAAAGAATTATATATGAAATAGGGGTAGAAAAGACCGAAGTAAAAATTGTTTTTTGAGTTTTCGATGCCAATGTGTTGCTTATGTTCGAAAACGTCAAATTTAAAATTTTTGAGGATTGGTTTTGAGGATCGGCTATCCATCAAATAACTTAGGGTAGATTGAGGCGAATCGGATTAATATAAGACAATTTTCGTTAATGTTTTATTTTAAACGAGCTATTTTATCGTCCTAATTAGTAATCCGATTTGCCTCGGTCTACTTTTTAAATGACTAGACACTACAGACGCGCGCGCTTCGCGCGCGCTATTTAGCTTTAACATTATGCTATTATATAATAATCGCGACACGACGCGGGACGATTAACCTCGCGACACGACGCGAGCTGTCACATCATGACACACACGACGCACTACACGCACGAAACTCGCCACACTCCGCGATGACAATCCCTCACGGGATGAAGCAAGCTACGGCGCGGCAATCAATCGAGATAGCCAATCGGCATCGCGGAAAAGAGGCTTCAATTTTACGATACAAACGAAATTCACTCAGGTAACACGCTTTTTTTAAAAGTGGATTTATAATTTTATAACATAAAAACTATGTGTGTTTTCTTACTGTTGTCTTAACATCTTGTGTGACTTTACATTCGTGTAATGTATTTTGGTGTTATTATGTTTTAATTTTTATTTAATTTAAAATGTGTCACTTATATTATTATCGTGCATTCACGGAAAATATTACGATAGACCAATTCAGTAATATTTAATTATTAAACTTATTCTTCTAAAATAGTATATTAAAAAATAGCCAATTTTTATTCCGAAGCCGGCATGTAAAATATGCATGGTTTCTTATAATTTTTTTCACCGTAGAATCACGTGGTGATATCTGTTTGCTACCAAAGTGTAGAAAAAATAGGTACGAACCCCAAAGATGAGCCACTTATGACCTTCATTTTTCTTTCCATATGCAGTATGACTCGTCACAAAATGCTTTGATAGCAAACGGCCATATAGAATCACCACGTGATTTTACGGCCAAAAAAAAATATTAGAAACCATGCATATGACGGCTTTTTCTTCTTATGAAAGTTGGCGATCCAAATGGCCAACATAGTCTTAGATACGGTCATGCGAAAGATGTCCACTGAAGTACAGCCAAACCATCTTCTGATGTCTTTCAGCCAGAAATTTTGGCGCCTGCCGATGGATCTCTTCCCTTGAATCTTCCCTTGGATGATCAGTCGCATGAGTTCGTATTTTTCTCCTCGCATCAGGTGTCCTATATATCTCGTCTTTCTCTCCCTAATTGTTAACATGAATTCCTTCTGCTTATGCATATGGCTGAGGACTTCCTCATTGGTTATTTTATTTACCCATGATATGCGCAACATACGACGGTACAGATACATCTCGAAAGCATCTATTTTCTTTTCCATATTTGGGTCAAGAGTCCAGCTTTCGCAACCGTATAACAGGGTAGAAAATATGTAGCATCTGATCATACGGATCCTGAGGTCCAAATTTAGATCCGATCTCGTGAAGAACGTCTTCATATTCGTAAATGTTCTCCTAGCCTGCTCGATTCTTGATCTGATCTCTTTCTTAGGGTCATATAGACTGTTCCATGATGGTTCCAAGATATTTGAAGGACGAGACTTGTTCCACAGTTGCCCTCTTAATAATCAGATGTGCACGCACATGTGTCTTAAAGAAAACCATGGTTTTGGTTTTCGTAGTATTCGTGAAGAAGCCAAAGCTTTCACTGTGTCGAACTATGCGGTCCATCATGTTTTACAAGTCATGCATGTTCTCTGCTAACACAACGGTATCGTCAGCATATCTGATATTATTAATCGACCTGCCATTAATCCTGATTCCACCAGTAATTCCCTCTAGAGCTTCCTTAAAAATAGCCTCCGAGTATATATTGAATAGTAGTGGTGATAAGACGCATCCCTGCAGCACTCCTTTCTTAATGAAAGTTGTTTCCGACGTTGCTGATTCCAGTCTAACTTCTGCGGTTTGTTGCCAGTAGAGGTTTGAGATTAAGCGTATTTCTTCTCTGTCGATCCCAGTCGCTCTAAGAATCTCTATCATCTTATGATGTTTGACGCAGTCGAATGCTTTTCTATAGTCAATGAAGCATGCGAATATATTGATGTTCATGTCTCTGCATCTTTGTGTTAGTACGTTCAAGGAGAACAACGCTTCGCGGGTGCCAAGACCATTCCTGAATCCGAATTAAGTTTCGGGGGTCCAGCTGGTACTCGCATTTCCTGAAGATTTGGGTGTGAATTATTCTAAGGAATATTTTTAGAACATGAGACATGAGACTAATCATGCGATAGTCATCACAGCGTGAGGCCTGAGTCTTTTTAGACAGAGTATCAATTTGATGACTTCAGCATATACGCTGTCTGGGCCAGTGGTTTCTCCGTTTTTCTGAGCTTTTATTGCGTGGACAACCTCGTCCTTGGTAATTTTTGGGCCGCACTCATTTATGTTTTTGTCTACTTGCGGCGGCGTATTTGGTCTGTCGTCATCAAAGAGCTCCTCCACGTATCTCTTCCATACTTGCAGTTTTGCTTCCACTCCCGATTATTTCGTTGTTAGTATCTCGTAGAGTTAGAACTTGATGTCTCGGGCACGATTTGTCATTTCTTTTACTTTTTTGTGCACATTGAACGCGTCATGTTTTTCTTGAAGTACTTCGATTTCCTTGCATTTCTCATGCAAGGCAAAGACATTCATTGTTCTTTTGTCTCTCTGCATTTTCTTTTGATCTTTTTATTGATTTCTTTGTATAGCCGAGGATTTGGTTTTTGTATCCTTCTTTCGGTCATGAGCTCTAAAATTTCCGTGGTCATCCACTCCTTTTTTCTTCCTACCTCGGGGAATCCGATGTCCTGAACCTGTATCTCCGTTATGGTGGTCTTTAGCTTATCCCAGGTTCTTTCTATTTCCACCGTGGTTTGTTTCGGTCTCTAAATTTTCTTCAGTTCATCCTCGAGTTTGGAGCTCACGTGTGTCTGCATGTCTGGTTTTTGCAGCTGTCTGATATCTATCTTTTGTGGTGTTCTCGCCTTCCTGATTTTTGTAAGACATCGCATTCGGAAGTCCATGACGATTGGGTTGTGGTCACTGTTAATATCTGCACCAGGATATGTTTTTGCTGTTTGCACATATTTTCTCAGCTTCGTTCCTATTAGGATAAAATCAATTTGATTTCTTAAGATTTTTCCTCTGGCATCAGCAGGAGACTTCCAGGTGTATAATCTTCTAGGATGTTGCTTGAAGAACGTATTAGCGACAAGGAGATTATTTTTGGCGCAGAACTGGACGAGTCTATCTCCCCTAGTATTTCTTTTACCCAGGCCATACTGCCTTACAGTATCATCTTCTGCACCGGATCCGACTTTTGCATTAAAGTCACCAATGACCATGGTTAGTTCTCTTTTCTTTGTGAGCCGCATAGCTTCATCTATTTTGGAGTAGAATTCTTCCGTTTCTGCATCCGTCTTGTCATTCGTTGGCGCATATACTTGTATGACATTCAGCGCTCGGTGCGAGGTTTGCAGTTTCAGCATCATAACCCGGTCATTTAAGGGTATAAACTCTGCAACTAATTCAGCAACTACATTATTTACAAGAATGGCCGTTCCATATCTATGGTTGGTATCTGAGCCTCCAGAGTAGCATATGACAGTGTTGCTTGTTTTCTGCATGCCAGATCCAGGCCATCTAACTTCGCTGAGTCCTAATATATTGATGTTCAATCTGGACATTTCTGCTTCGACATTTGCCAGTTTTCCTGCCATGTATAAGCTGCGTACGTTCCAGGGGGCAATTCGTATTTTTTTGTTATATATTTTGGTAAATCGTAAACGGA